GCTAGATCAATACTAGCACTGCAGTTATCTATGTGTGGTGCTAGGAGTTTGGGGTGCACATCAGAGAGCTCTTAGCTTCCCAGTAACAGGAGCTGCTATATGAATTGTTTCATAGTGCGTTGGGTGAGAACTTATCTGTTCTTTCCTGTCTGCAAATGTTCTTAGCTAACCAGCACCTTTAGAGAGACACTTTCAGCTCTTTATGCTCTCTGGGTCTGTGCATTCCAGATGGTGCTAAAACAGGGCTTCTGCCCATATGGTTGAATAGTCCCCTATAATGACTGCACTATTAGTACAGGCAGGATACAAACAGATGGTAGTATGTAGCCAGTGAAAGGCATGTATGCAGCAGTGGACCCTGGAGAGGAGATCATGCATACTGACATGGCACAGTGAAGACAAATTACATGCATGAAGATTCCCTCTATGTAGACCTCTCCTCCTGCTATAGGGCATCTTCTACAAAGCTGTGGGATCACATCATTATGCAGCTTTGGGAAGACCCAGCAGTAGCTGTCAGACTTTGTGGATCTGTATGAAGAGCTTCTTCTATTATTTTAGTGCTACAGATGGGGGAAGTCAGACTAGCCTAGAAGAGGGTTGGTCTTGTCATCCAGCTGACTACCTCAGAATGCTATAGGTCCCTGATTAACCAAATGATGTTGGGTTTAGTAGCACTTTTAGTAGCAGAGGTTTACCTGCTGATGGGAGATATTACCAATACACCGGAAACAATAAGATGGCTATGAGAGGGCAGAAGCACTGAGGACATCAATAGTTCATATGCCTAATGTTTGCCAGCCACATGGAGCACATGAATATGTCAACAAGTAATATCTTCCTACTTAATCATTATGCAGGCCTTGATCAATCACAAATGAACATAAGTATGTTATACAGCAGCAAAGTACATAAGTACATAATGCTTGGGTGCTGACAATATCTGGCAGTTACCTCTGTGGACAAAAAGTATACTTTATTCCTTCCAAATAATCCCCCATCATTTTAGAAAACCCTTTCTACCTTCTGAAGTGAAGCCTTCTATTCCCAAATTAGAGCTTTGTTGAATAGGACCCTGGAATAAAGAGATAACATGCTTGTTTTTTTTCCAAGAGAATCCCTTATTAGAAAGCTAACCACAAGTTTAACTAGCATTTAGATCAGGTGATGGAAATGCAAAAACATATTCGCTCCTGGAAGGATGGGTGTAGGCCGAACCTCTGAGCTCTTGTTAGTTGTTCTGTTCCACTAACAATTCAGGTCCATTATTTTCCTCTTTCAAGCCTTGCCAGGTATACAATCGTTAATGATATGTATTTATCAATAATTTGATTGGGTATATGTTAATGAAAGGGGTTGATTGTGAAGACCTCCCCCACACCCACAGCTAACTGAAGAATTTGTCTTTGATAGATTTTTGGTGTGTGTTCATGTCTGGTTTCTTCTACATATTTTTCATCAGGGCATTAGGTGCAGTGGATGAGATATATTACATTTCTAGAAGTGCAGTGTAAAATTCAGGAATGGTGATGGTTTCGTTGTGGCATGTAGTTATTGTGGGGGTGGTGGAGATGTGTTGGCAGGTTTTGCATTTCTTGTCCCAGCATGGTCTGGATCCATTCAGTGTGCTTTGGGCCACAGGAAGTTTGCTTCTGGATTTGAGGTTGGTGAGGTTTAGTGCTCATTAAAAGGCTAGAATGGGTGGTTCTGGAAATATCTCTTTAAGAATTGGGTCTTTGGGAATGGGTTGCAATTGTTTGAGGATTTTCCAAATAGGTTCCAGGGAAGGATGGTGTGTGATTCGTGGGGATTTTCTTCTTGTATTTCAGCAATTTTTCATGTGGTATTCAGCTGGCTCTTTCACAAGTAGAATCTATCTCTCTGGAGAAGTGTCCTTATGGGGTGAACGCCCTTTTGAGATTTGCGAAGTGACAATTGTTGGTATTCTTCTCAGTGCAAATTCTATGATACTGGAGGGCTTGGCTATATAGTACAGCTTTCTGGGTGCGTTTAGGGTGATTGTTGGTTCTGTGTACTGGTCTGTAGGTAGGTTTCTTGTATATGGTGGTTTACATTGTATCCCTTATAGTAATGGATTTCAGTTACTTTGTGTTATTAGGCTCAAACACTTTATCAGTGCTTTCCTATTTAAATCAGCAAAAACATGAAATCTGGCCTTGCAAGCCTGTCTCCATACAAGGCTACCCAGAGTATTTTCTAGTCTTTATATAATGGAGGATGTATACAAGATTCAAGCACTTACACCAAGGCCTCTAATATATGCATTACACTTTCTCTTGCCTTGTATATACATCTCTAGTCTCATGTCTCTCTAGTGGCCCAGGTGCTGGTCTGACCGAAGGTTGCATTCCATGCAGCAAGTCATCCCTGGGCCATTTCCTCCTTTGTTGCTGGTTCCTTATCCCACAAGACCTCGGTGGCTGACTCAGTCCAATAGAAGTGGAGCATGCAGACAAGACACTGAAAGAGCTTGTTATATTTTGCCTATGCATAGAAAGGAGGGACTTCTCCCTTGTATGTTCTGAGTCTAAGCAAAGTTGTGAGTTAATACTCTTGTCAGCTTGACACAATAGTTGTTCAGAAATTGCTGCTAGTCCATGAGTGCAGAATGATAAAGGTTTCATGGGAAATGTTTGTTAAAAAAAAGAAAGAAAAGAAAAACTAGAGAAAATGTTGCACCTGGTTGTGGGGTAGGGGCTAGTATAATCAGACCAAGGACTTCTTACCAGCATTGTTTTTAAGTGTGTTTCAGATCAGGGTAGCCTCACAGGATGTTAATCTGCTGAGTGTTCTTGACTAGAAGAAGGAGCAACATTTCTAAGTGAGTGATGGTGTATCATCTCTTCATGTGAAGAAGACTTCATTAATTGCCGACTGAAGAGCAAATTAAGAAATGGCCTGTAAACTACAAAGCCAGCCACTGTAAGTTTTCCCTGCTCAAGAATCTCACTAAGTGCCTTGAGTGTTTCCCTGCATGCAAAATTGTCAGGAATTTCCCCAGGAAGTGGGGGAAATTCAGATGGACATTAACAGGATGTTGAAGTAGGATAAGAAAGCCTGCCAACTGCAGAACTGCTATGGTCCCTTCCTTCCAACCCATACGGGGTTGGAAGAGCACCAAATAAGGCTAATCCTCATGGGCTTTTATATTTAAAGTAGTGGCTGCAGGCAGGTCATGGTACTGCATTAGCTTAGTGTCCTGTGACAGCATTACAGAAAGGTCGAGATATGCTGAATATTGCTTCATAATCCTCTAATCCCAGCACTGATTTTTCTCCCTCCTTTTTAACAAAAAATTACAACCAATTTAATGAGAATAATCATCAGCATTATGTTTACATTTGTGGCTTTCTTCTATTTTGGAATCCATCTTGACTTTTGAAGGTGGGTAGAAGGAAGGATAGAGGAAGTAGGCCCAGAACCTGTTCCCCAGAGCCAATCACCAAACCGATCCTTGCAAGACAAACCCAATACGTTACCTTAGTCATCTGCATGGCCTTCCTCAGCTCAGGGTCTCCACTGGCATGTGGCTGTGCTTTACCACCCCTTTTGTCACCTGGATCCCCTCTTGTGCCATTCCCATGTCACCTGCTTCTGATAAAAAAAATCAAATTGTCCATACTTGTAAGTATGTAAGTCCATACTGGCAAGTACCCAGGCAAGCTCCTTGTAGTGGGAACAAATGGACAAGAAGTTGTCTAACCTGCAATTGTCATCCTTTGCTTTGCACGAGGCACTCTTAAGTTTTTTATGTAATCCCTCAACTGGATGGCAAAACAAACCTGCACCTCTGCCAGCTTCTTTGATATGATTTCACACCGGTGCAGATGTTGGGGTGCATTTCCCCAAATCATGGTCTTTGTGATAGTTGCCTGAGCGGTCACCCAGAAATATGATGTACATCTGTGGCCATCTAGCATAACACTAGATGGCATCCTCTAGGACTGTTGGGCTGAAGTGAGCTGAGACAAGAAGAATGGAACAGGCCTCATGGAATGAAGGGGTTAGAGGTAAGTACCAGTTAGGTGCATATAAACAGAGTGGTCACGTCTAACATATAGGAAGAGACTAGGAAGTGAGTAAGTAGAAGAATATATGGGCTGGGAGAATAGTGGTATGGTATTGGAAGACTATCAAAACCCATGTGAACTTTGCTGCCTAGGCTTTAGCTGCATACTGCTATAAAATGTCAGGTCAAAGTTCACCCTAAAGTAAACCCACAACACCAGCCAAGCAAACAAGTCAGCTTGAGTTCAAAGCACATTTGAGACCAGGTATAAGGGTTTTGCGTGAAGACAGTTAGGGGCATTGGGCTAAAACCCAAGAGGAGACTATTGGCAAGTTTACAATGAAGATAAACTCTTAAAGGAGTAGGGCCAAGTTCCTAAAGGCTCTGCCAGCTCCTGAGGGTGATGGAGATTCTATACAGTCTGGGATTTTAAACAACCTAGACTGCAGGTCTTGCGAGACTGTGGCTGAGAGCTTACCACACTCCTTAGCCCAGGGAGTTAATTCACCTGGGCTAAGGACAGAAGTTACACACAGACCAGTATAAGTGATCAGAAACTGACTTAAACCTGTAACAGAACAGAAGTTCAGTGCACATAAACCAGTTTCAAAATGGTTGGAACTGGTTTAAGATAAACCTAGTTGAATGTAGTATCAGACTTAACTAATCTGGGCCAAACCAGTTTATGAAACTTCTGTCCCAAACCCCTTCCTGGTTCAAGTTAAATCAGTCCCTTAGCAGCCCAGCACGCTTTGCAGCCCTGGCCTGGGTTGTGCTGTGTTGTCTGCTCCAGAGACCAGGGCTGACACTGCCCCTCTACTTCATAGCTGGAGCAGTGAAAGCTGCCTGACAAATGGGTGGGGGAGGCAAGCCTGGCTGGGGATGTAGGCCTGTTGGGGGGGCATGGAAACCCTGTCTGGGTTCTGGGGCCTGGGAGGTGGGTGTTAAACACCCCTTCCCCCCCTCAAACTTACTGCTGTCTGTGATTGTGGATTACAAATCCCAGAGGCACCTGGAAGCAGCAAGAGGAAGTGATGAGCAACTCTACAGAGTTCTGTTGCTGTGATTTTGGATTGCAGATCCCAGAGATCTCGGGACAGCAGGAAGAGGGAGCAAACACACAGCCCATGCTGCCAGAGAACAACTATGCTGTAGTGCCCCTCCCCGGGCTTCTGGCCTGAGCCACTTAAGGCATGTGGCTGCGTTTCCTGAATCAAAGGTAAATATCTGTTCACTTCTGTTTCAATTTAATCTCTGCATTTTAGACTAACATGCAAAGACTGAATCAATTCAGGCTCAGGCTTTTTGACTGTCTGTACTTAGCCCTAGAGTCTTATACCAGGACACTTGCAGACTGGGGAACAGCACTGCAAGTCACTTGGGGTAGGACTCTAGGTGAATCACTTATAGCCTGATCTTCAGAGGTGATTCACCTAAACTTCCACAGACACTATGAAAATCATAATTTCTCTTTTTCCTCAGATTACCCGTTTGTAAAATGGGTATAATGAGATGATAAAATTAGTGCCTCAAAGGAGTGTTTTGAATCCTAAGTATTTGCAAAGCACTTTGAAATAACTAAATGTGAGCCTGATTCAAAACCCAGTGAAGCCACTGGCAGTCTTTCAGCTGACCTCACTGGACTTCGGAACACAGCCTATGTTTTTAATAAGAAATTTGAACCATTAAACTACATCTGATGTGAGAAGGAAAATCAAATATTGTTTCTATTCAGTACAGCTGTGAATATTTTACACTATGAACCACAATGAAATAATTTTATTTGAAAAGTACCCCAATTCTGTGTAAACCAAAGAATGCATCTATTTTTCCAGATTAGAAAATGAGCTACAGCCAGCAGCCTTAAAATGGGTCAATTTTTAAAAAAGATGTATTAAACCAGCAATGAAATAAGTTCAAGTGCTGTTGAATATACTGAAACAGCAAGTTAAAGGATGATTGTTGAAAGGCAAGTACTCTCCTTATAATAACAAAAAGAAATCACCATAATACAAGGCAAAAATAACCAGAAAACAAACAAAACATGCTATTGATTGAGTCCTTCATTATCTAGTGTAGCCTTTAATGGAGAAACCTGCATGTGTCATTGCTGTTATCTTACGATAGGCAGTATGCACACACTGTAAAAATCAGTCTCTTCATTTTCTGCTTGAAAAGATCATTGTAAAAAAAGTGCCAGGGAGTGGAGGTCATGCTGATTTATTGGCAATTAAATCTGCAGGATTTCTGCACTCCCTTCAAAACAAAGTATCTCTGGGTAATTCAGCCTGGTAGATTACATAGTGGGCTATCTGCTAAAATGCATGAGTCTTTCTCTTTGTGCACAAGAAACAATTGGCTTGGTCTTATTTAGAAAATTACTGCTATTTTCTATATAGGTACTTGTATCTTCCATAAATGGAAGGAGATGATAAAGTTATGTAGCTTTACAATACAAAATTTGTACAAAGTAGTAAAACTGCTATTTTTACTCACTCCTTTGTTAAGAGTAGAAAATCTACACATAAACTTATTCTAGACCTAGTGCTCATAGACAGAGTACTAAGCACTCAGACCAGATACATTTTGAAATGTAGCCAAAGCTTTAGTCCCTGTCAGATGTACAAGTTTCCCGTGCTTTATGCTGGTTCTGTATGTGCAAATTTGCTCTTATGCAATGACCCTTTTACGCCAAAAAGTTGTTATATGTGAGGTAAATTCACTTTTATGCAATTGCTGTGGTTGAATCCCACAGTCAGCTGCTTTGTGCAGTGCATTGTGGGGGTGACGCCATAGGTGGAGGAAGAAAAAATTATTTGGGGGGCCTGAGCTGGGTGGTGGTGCCCCAGGAGCTGTGAGCCATGAAGCCACCCAGCAGCAGTGTCCACGACTGCTGCTCAGGGCAGCTGGTGCCCATGCTCCTGGAGCTGCAGCTGCCCCAGGAGTGGTGCAATGCCACATCAGTTCGGTCAAGGTCTTGGAATGTATTCCTATTTGTTACATTGTAAAGTGGGTTCCCTTTATGCAAATTTGATTTATGCACCATGTCACGGGGAGGAACAGAAGGGATGACCCCAAAAGGCCGGGGGGAGCCCTGGGGTCAGGAACCCTCAAAAGAAAATGAAAGTAAAAGACAAGAAAATTGGAAATTCTTACCTGCAGCAGGATCCGCGGCGAAGCCAGAGCCAGAGAAGGGACCTGCGTGGCTCATTAGCCGCACCTTTATACAGTTGCAGCCGACCGATGATGTCAGCCACAGGAACTGGCCGGCGGAAATAAAACGGGCCACTGGCCAAGAAGAGGGCAGCAGATTGAGGCCAGTGGGAGCACCAGCAGGGGAGGTTCTCCCTGAGCTCCTACAGGAAAAGGGGCTGGAAGCTGCTTCTCCCAGTGGGGGAGGAAGCAGTAGAGCACGCTGCGGGATAGATGCTGCTGGTGGCTGCAAAAGGAGCCAGAAGCCAGAGGCAGCTTCCCACGACCGAGAACCTGGACAAAAGGGCAGAGGAGACCAGGAAGGTCCAGGGGCCACAGCCAAGGAGCCAGAGAGACCAACACACCTCAAGACGCCAGACCAGGTGGGACCGCTGGGGGTTCTGGAAGAGCCAAGGAGGTGCGCCAGGTGGGAGACAGGTGGCACCAGCAGTGTGAAGAGCTACGAAGCACAGACCCCAGTGGTATAGAGCTGACCTGATGAATGACATGGGGACAGGCGTCCGTCAAAGGACTACAGCGAACCCAAAGGCTGGGCAATGAGGAAAAATAAGTATGGAGTAGCCTGCAGGCTACCTCTGACACATATAGGGCCAGACATGGATCACTAGTATCTGAGGGCGGGTATTGGTGATTAGGCCAGAGGAGCTGGGGATAAAGGGGCAGCTGGCCTCTCAAAGTGTCTCAGTGATTTTTTTGTTTGTATTTTATGTTTCCCACTGTTGGAGGGGTTGAGGGGCAGGGCTTATGCAGCCTGATTATTGTTGAAGCCTTAAGGTGGTTGACAGCCTCATGGAAAAGTAGACGGCCACAAGACGTGGGTAGGATATTGTGGGTTGTTCACCAGTAGGCAGCAAGGACCATCCCAGAGAACGCACTCAGGGACTCAACAGTCAGGGATTTGTCCAGGAGGACATCTGTGACGCCCCAAGGCAGGGTGTAAGGGTGAGGGAGAGGGGAGATGGAGCCTCGCAGAAGACTGCCAGACAGACGTCTCGCTGTCGAGAGACTCCCAGTGGTCGGACCCCCACTGAAATAAGATTCAAAGTCATGGCAGGCAAGATTGGGGAAGACTACACCAGAGGGAAACACCTACTCGACGGAACATCTGGGATGGACAGGCGAACACCACTGAACATCCGGACCAGAGTGGCATGGGACCAGATATTTGAGGCCAGACAGGCACACACTGTTTTCCAGGAATGCATGTGCAGCATAAAGTGAGGGAAAGTGGTGTATAGAACCCACATAAATTGAGAGAAACCTCTATTTATTATGAAGCAAAGCCACAGAGGCTATGGCAGTGAAAACCATGTACAGAAAAGTATGTGTAATGGTAGCTACTTAAAGGCAGATAGTGGAAGCGCAAAAGGATGGACATAAGAATGAGCAAAGAAACAGAGATCCTGAGGTACGGAGTGCTTTAGGAGCTTTTTTTGTGTGTATCACAGCACCTGGCACAATGGGACCAGGATTATTATGACCTGAATATAAATCAAGAATGAAACAGAGTGCACACTCAGATTGGGCAAGGGTCATCATGTTAGTATATGCACTGTCACTGCCAGGCACAGTGATGAGTAGCACAGAAGATGCACTTAGAATATTGCAGGGGATGGGGCAGGAAAAAACTTAAGCAAGCAGCAGGACAACTGAAATAGAAAGGTTGTGATCTATCCCTCATAGCTTTGCCTGGGGCAATGAAAAAGATCACACACATGCCAAGTTGGTAGTAGCAGACCACAAACTAGTAGAAATACATGAACACAAACTGTCAGCAGAGCATTACATGTGGCATCTGGGTAGGCAGACATATTAACCTAGGCTGTGTACAGATGTGCTCCATGCATGTTTTAGCGCGCTGTAATTAAGAGCACTTTTTTATAGCACTAAAAAGTTACAGCACTCTTAAACATGACAGAAGTGCAGTGTTTGGTGGCTCTGAGCCTCCCTGCACTTGCCAGTCTAAGAAGCAGAAGGTATTCTGCAGCCTCTTGGGGCTTCTCTACTGGTTAGAAATTTGACCAGTGTACAGAAGTTATTTAAAGCAGTGTAGGTTGCTAAAGTGCAGTAAAATACAGTGCTTCATATTTAATACCTCATTTAACAAGAGTTAATTTAAAGCTCTGTACCTATTTTTAGAGTGCGTTAAAACCATGCACTTCTGTTAAGTTATGGCAATTAAGCACTCTAAATGGCAAAAAAACAACTTCTGTATACACCCCTGGGGACTGAAGAAGTGGCTTTGAAGTTGTTGCTTTTACAAGCACTCACCAATAGAGAACTGCAACTCTAAGGACCTGTTTAAAGTTTATTTAAAAATCTTCAGAAAATCAGGTGCCTCTCATGCACCAACATTTCTTCTTGTTCTCTAAATAAGGATGTTCAGGACCATGCAGAAAATATGAGGTCATCCAATCTCCAGAATACTCAGTGGGCAAGCCAGCTGATTCATAGTTTAGAATTTGCTAAGGCCCTTAAGTTAAAGGTAACATAGGATTATCAAAGGCTTGCATAACCAAGATCTTGGGAGATACAGCTGTTGCCATGCATCTTACTATGTGATTTACTTTTCTAAAACACATTTTCAGCTGATATAGATATGACAAAGATGCTGAAGAAGTACTTAATTAAGATGAAGCGCTGATGATATTAAGTGGAAAGTTGACACATTAAAACTGCTACAGGGACTCTCCCAAATCCTTTTTCTACCCAAATTATCCCACCATGGCTACTACTGATTAAGTTGCATTAACAATGGCAGTACTAGTGACAGACCTGAACTAACTGGTAGTACTGGTGTGGAATTTGAGAGCAAAGGGGCTGGATTAAATATAGTCCACAAAGGGCTATGAATAGTGGTGGGTGATAAAAGAAGTGAACACAACTGGTAAACCATTTAAAAAAAATGAAGT